CAGCCCCTGCTCTCTCTCTCAATTCGTGAAGCATTGGTTCTTTACTCAAAACCTACTGCCAGGATCTGGGTGCATGGTCAACTGTTCTCACTATTGCCTACCTGCAACAGGAACCAGACAAGGCTGTACCTTGTCATCATTGTTATATAACCATACCATGGAACACTTGGCTGTCACTTTGCATACCAATACCTCCATTAAGGTGTCTGGGGTCATGTCATTACAAGCTGGCTCTCTATACTGATGATCTCTTATTATATATCTCATCCCTCAACATTATAATACAAAACATTCTGCAATGATCCTCTCGGCTTGGGACACTTAGCAACTTCAGGAAAACACCTTGAAATGTGACTTTTGAATATACAGTTAGGTCCATATATATTTGGACACAGGCACAATTTTCATACTTTTGGCTCTGTATGCCTCCAAAATAAATTAAAACAAAAACAATCCAAATGAATTTGAACTGCAGACTTTTAGCTTTTATTCAGGGGGTTAAACATAAATATTAAGTACAAGGAACTACAACCATTTTTATACACAGTCCCTCCATTTTCAGGGGCTCCAATGTAATTGGACAAATGAATATAATCATAAATAAAATGCTTTAGCTGCAGCTGTCTTCAGTTGGTCTTTGTTTGTGGGTCTTTCTGCCTTTAGTTTTGTCTTCAGCAAGTGAAATGCATGCTCAATTGGGTTGAGATCAGGCGATTGACTCGGCCATTGCAGAATATTCTACTTCTTTTCCTTCAAAAGCTCCTGGGTTGCTTTTGCAGTGTGTTTTGGATGATTGTCCATCTGTACTGTGAAGTGCCGTCCAACCAACTTTGCTGCATTTGGCTGAATCTGCGTTGACAGTATATCTCTAAACACTGCAGAATTCATCCGGCTGCTTCTGTCACATCATCAATAAACACCAATGACCCAGTGCCACTGGAAGCCATGCATGCCCATGCTATCACACTGCCTCCAACATGTTTTACAGATGATGTTGTGTGTTTTAGATTACGAGCTGTTCCAAGCCTTTTCCACACTTTTTTCTTCCCGTCATTCTGGTACAGATTAATCTTAGTTTCATCCATCCAAAGAATGCTGTTCCAGAATGGGTCTAGCTTTTTTAGATGTTTTTGGCAAAGTCTAATCTGGCTTTTCTATTCTTCAGGATTATGAATGGTTTGCACCTTGTGGTGAACCCTCTGTATTTGCTCTTGTGAAGTCTTCTCTTGATTGTAGACTGACAATGATACGCAAACCTCCTGGAGAGTGTCCTTCACTTATCTGGATGTTGTGAATGGGGTTTTCTTTACCATAGAGAGGATCCTGCGATCATCCACCACTGTTGTCTTCCGTGGACATCCATGTCTTTTTATGCTGCTGAGCTCACCAGTGTGTTCTTCTGTACTCAGAATGTACCAAATTGTTGATTTGGCCACTCCTAATGTTGCTGCTATCTCTCTGATGGATTTGTTTAATTTTGAAGCCTTACAATGGCCTGTTTCACTTGCATGGACAGCTTCTTTGAACAGGTGTAGGTTCACAGCAATAGATTGTAAATGCAAATACCACACTTAGAATCAACTCCAGACCTTTTACCTGCTTACCTGATGAAGAAATAATGAAGGAGTAGCCCACAACCTGGCCATGAAACAGCTTTTGATTCAATTGTTCAATTACTTTCGGTTCCTTGAAAAAGGGGGAGAGCTACAGTTGTGTTCAAAATAATAGCAGTCAAACATTACTAACCTGATCAATCACTGTTTTTGATATTTCTACATGGCAAATAATTTACTAGCAGGTGCAGTAGAGTAATAGAAATCCAACAGACCCAACAGTCATGACATGCATGCTGCTGATTCTGTGTAATTGAATCACTAATTGAAAGGGGCATGTTCAAAATAATAGCAGTGTGGAGTTCTATTAGTGAGGTCATTCATTCTTTGAAAAACAGGTGGCAATTATTGCCCTTATTTAAGGAAAGAAGGCAGCAAATGTTGTACATGCTGGTTACAGTGCATTTCTCTCTGAAATTCTAAGGAAAATTTGGTTGTTCCAGACATTGTTCAGAAGAACAGCGTACCTTGATTAAAAAGTTGATTGGAGAGGGGAAAACATAAAGAACTTCAGAAAATGATAGGCTGCTCAGCTAAAATGATCGCAAATGCTTTAAAATAGCAACCAAAACCTGAAAGACGTGGAAGAAAGCGAAAAAACTACCATTCGAATGGATAGAATAGCCAAAATGGCAAGGACTCAGCCAACAATCAGCTCCAGGAAGATCAAAGAAGGTCTAAAGTTACCTGTGAGTACTGTTACAATTAGAAGGCGCCTATGTGAAGCCAAGCTATCTGCAAGAAGCCCCCGCAAAGTCCCACTGTTGGAAAAAAAGACATGTGGGGTGACATCAAAAATGCAGTTTCTGAGGCAAAACCAAGAAATAGAGAAGAACTGTGGAATGTAGTCCAATCATCCTGGGCTGGAATACCTGTTCACAGGTGCCAGAAGTTGGTTGACTCCATGCAACACAGATGTACAGCAGTTCCCAGAAACAGTGCTTATACAACTAAATATTCATTAAGTGATTCAAAGGAAAGCAAAATCTTCAAACATTTTTCAGTTTATATAGTGAATGTTTGAGTTTGTAAAGAAGAATACAAACACTGCTATTTTTTTGACCAGTCTAATATTCACTTTTCTTCAATTTTTTTAGAGGAACAACACAAATTTGATCTATTTTTCTTCATGTTTTGATTTGGAATAGAATGTGTAGTGTTCCCAATGCATTTGTGTGTATGGAAATAAAAGCTATTAGAAGGATTTTGAGCTTTATTCACTTTTTTCAACATGCTGCTATTATTTTGAACACAACTGTACTCTTAAGAGCTGTAATTCCTAAACCCTTCCTCCAATTTAGATGTACATACCCTCAAATTAAACCTGAATGTGAGCACTTTCAGCCCTTATCCATTATATAACTATAGCTTGAATATGTTTTGGTAAATAACTGAAAAAAAGTAAAATTGTGCCTGTGTCCAAATATATATGGACCTAACTGTATACTTACCTTGGACTCAGTAAGACAATTCCCTCCCTCAAGGCTCGGGTCATTTACTCTCATTTATTTTAACTCTCAGTTTCCACTCAGTATGCCTCTGGCCACCTTCCTGACTCCAAATGGAATTATTTATTTGCAATTACACTATGCCCTTTGGCCAGACTCAATTGCACTGTGGCCTCATTTTACGCCTTAGTTTCAAACCACCATGAGGGACTGTTACCAGGAAAACAACTACCCAACTACATTAGGTCTTTATCAAAACAGATGTTCCTAAATTGCCGCTTAATGAATTTTGGACATTTATGTACTTCTCCAGCAGCAGTCTCATGGGCAATTTTGTATTTATGCTATGGTGACAGAGATGACTTAAAAAGAGAAGCCACCTTTTGAGCTAGCCTGTGAGCAGGTTCTAGGAATGCTGTTATCGGAGGATGATTGGTCTAAGGCCTACATTTTGATGCACTCCCTCTCCTTGTCAAGCTACCATCAACAGAAAAATGATAACATTATATCCAGGTGGTGATGTCGGGCCACTTTGTGACAAATGTTCCCATCATTTTCCAATGCCTACTGGAGGGGCCACTAATGCTGGACTAGCTATTTCCACATATGGTGGAGATGCCCAAAAATCCAACCGTTTTGGAACTTAATCTTCCCGGTATATAATAAAACGCAGTTGACAGACTTGGTAGGCACACCAGAGGTGGGACTTCTCTTGGTGCTCCTGGGCTCTCTGCAGCACATTTGTGGGAAAGTTTGAGACACTGCCTAGTGGAAGCATGCACCACAAAATCTAGACAGTGAAAGTCTTCCACCACACCACTGCTGTCAGTTTGGGCCAGTATCATGAATGACCTTATGTGTGTAGGGAGTCTGGTAGCTGGAGACTCAGATAGGTTGGACTTTTTACTTCATATGCGGACATGCTGGGTCCTTTTTAGAACCACCGATGCCTTCCAAAACCTCTTAACATCCTAACAATATTCTTAGTTTTTGCCAATACTGTACAATAATGGCATAGATAACTCTATCATCTGCAATGACTTCTGTCAAACTTCTCATACTCCCTTTTCCTATCAGTCCCTCTCTGGTTCCCCCCGTTTCTTTGTTATACGTAATAATCTGTTATTCCTATTATACCTCTTCAAATAAAGACAATAAAACCAGATATAACATAAATAAACGACTGGTCAACAGTAAATTAGAAATTTATGTTTAGGGTGTCTGTAGAATTATTTAAAAATAAATATGTAATAAAGAAGGGAAAAAATATGAAAACTGCTATAAATGTCTAGTAAACATAAATAATATCAAGGTTGTATGCAGTTGGTGTTAGCTTTTATTGGCAGGATCTATATATATTAGGGACAATCCATTTTCAGCAAATAAAAACACTTTCTATTAAAGACAAAAGATAAATAAAAAGTCTGCCATTAGACAAAAATAAACAAAATAATTGCTACAGATATAAAGTGTAGGAACCTAGAGTTGCATGCACAACCCTGCAACAGCTCTTCATTGCCTACAGATACAGCTGATTTACCAAATGCAAATAGGCTGCTAACTTTGCAAGCAAACTTTCCCTTACAGGTGAAGATCTGCAGAGTTCCGTCATCCAAGAAAACATGTTATTTTTTTATTTGCCTTGCATTTGATTGGGTATTCTTTGCAAAGTGAATTTCCACTTTAAAAATTAACATGCTCTACTCCTATATTAGCCACAAGTCTGACATCCTCACTTTATATTGGCTCATCATTATGATGGGTTGCCTAACTGTCCAACATGAATTTACAGGAGGCAGGAAGGAGCAGGCAAGCTGCAGCACCATATAAAAGTGCTAATGATTTGCCTGTGAAAAATGCCTGCCATCTAAAGAGCACAGATTTGTTGTTATTCTAAGTATTATATCCACAAAAAAGAGAAAAAGAAACAGGTACTTACTTATTACATTAAGCAGGCTACTCTTCCCTGCATTGGTAGCTCCTGCTAGAACCACTTGAACCCCATCTCTCAGTCTCTCTCCTCGGCGGTTGTCCTTGAGATGCTCCTCCAGCTCTTTCCGGAGCTTTTCCACTTCTTTATCAACTGACAATTCAAATTAATTTGATTAACAGTTTTCTCAAACAGATCCTACCCTGTTTTTGTTTCTGTAAATTGCTGTTTGCAGTTTGTAATTTACATCGCTTTATTGCTTGATGAATAGCACTACATAATATGGTGGCAATTTATAAATTAGTTCCAGCCCCTGCCACCAGCCAAAAAAAAAAAAATTTACAAGTCAGCAGCTACAAATACTGTAGCTGCTGACTTTTAATAGTAGAGTACTTACCTGTCTATGTATCCAGCAGTGTCCTCACCCCAAGCTGATTATTCACTCGGCTGTCGGATGCTGGCGCCAGCATCTTTACTAAGGGAAACCAGCAGTGAAGCCCTGCGGCCTTTCCACGGCCATGGCGGATTGAGCCAGAAGTGGGAGCCGGGTACCTGTCAAAACCAGGTACCTGCTCCCCCCCAAAAGGTGCCAAATGTGGCAGTGGAGGGGGGAAGGAGGCAGAAAAGTGGAGCTTCCACTTTTGGGTAAATGGCATTTAATCAAATTCAGAGACAGCCCATAGTTTATAGCTAAGACTTTGAACATTAGTAAGTAAGGCCTAGGAATTGCATATAAGCACAGTGGCTAAATTGTTAGCACTTCTGCCTGGCAGTAATAGGGTCATTGGTTTGAATCCCAACAACGGCACCACCTGCCTGGAGTTTGCATGTTCTCCCTGTGCCTACGTGGGTTTCCTCCGGGTACTCTGGTTTCCTCCCACACTCCAAAGACATGCTAGTAGGTGAATTGGCTCCTGTCTAAATTGGCCTTAGTATGTGTATGTATGAATTTTAGTTAGGGACCTTAGATTGTACACCCCTTGAGGGTTAGGGACGGTGTGAATGTACAATATATATGTAAAGTGCTGCGTAAATTGATGGCGCTATATAAGTACCTGTAATAAATAAATAATATAAGCAACCTGAAGCAATTACAATATTTTTAACAAAAAGAATGTGTTGGACTGTACTAATGGTTAAATTAATTTATATTAATAATATCCTCTATATTTATGTATTATAGTTACATGTCTTGTAGAAAAAGCCTATAGAAAAAACATGGGGTTACATGTGAAAACTGACCAGCTGGACAGACTGGAAAAATAACAGCTGTTGTAATTAAAGGGAACTAAAAGTGTCATGTATTATTTGGCTCATATGCTCTTGTATTCCCTGCAGCTAAATATGATAATACTAACAAACATGCTAGAACATCCATGCACAACATACTGCAATAATATAGATAATATTTTTGTGGATACCTGCGGACAGAACACCTTCTTCAATATTGTCATCTTCACTAAAATCTATAAAGGCTTCAACATGAGCCAATGCCTGATGAAGAAAGGAAAAGAATTAAAAAAAGAGCAAATTTTCAGCATAGCAAGACAAATCTTAGCCTACAAAATCTTAGCCTTGAGTGTTGTCATCCCACTGAAGAAGACTTAGGCTGGCCATACACTAGTAGAATTTTGTTAAAAATGTTTTATTTATCAAATGTTTGTTTGATTTACTAATGGTTACTGTAGTTAAATCAATGTTCACTTTCAGCCAAAGTGATGAGAATATTCACAGCAATAGGATGGAAATTATTTTCTCGAAGGAACAAAATTCGAACTGTAAATGTGGTTTTCGTTTGGATTATTGTAATGTGACCTGTTTAAAATGTCCAGTATTCTATATAAGTAGCAGCTCTGGACAAATTTTAAGGGCTTTTGAACAAAATTATTTGACTTATGGTATATGGCATGCACAGTCACTGCTGTCAGAATACAATATTTCAGCAAGCATCATTCCTCTATCCACCTCACTGTGTGGATGGAGGAATCCATTTTCTTCTTTCGATCAGCCTGCTGGCTGCCTGTAATCTCTTGGGAAAATGTCACAGGTGCCATGAGGCTATGGGACCATTCACACAGTGCAACGCAGCAAAGCTGCCTTCCCATACTAAATGTGCCAGTGTCGGGGGACCGAAGACCACTGAACAACTGGATGCATGAGGACTGCACAGGATCTTTGGACAGATAAGTGTCCTTTTATTAAAAGTCAGCAGCTGTAGTATGTGTAGCTGTTGACTTTTTATTTTTGGAAAACAGGCTGAAGATCCACATTAAGAAAATAGCACAACAAAATCACAGAAGACACAATACAGTATACTATTTCTAACCCGAATTAATTGATGGCTCCATCTCTGATATAGTTGTCCAAGCTCTCCAGACATCTGACGTAATGCTTGCCGCCTTTGAACTTCAGTCTCTGCATGGATAAGATCCCCCAAACCTTCTACTTCAGTTAGATCCAGCTTCCCATTTTGAAAAGCCCTCTTTGTAAATTCTCCTGGCTTTGCTGGGCAAAGAGTTTTTAGATGTCCTAGGAGAAAAAAAAAAAACTTCTTAGACAGAGGGGTTTACTGCCACCTTCAGGAGGCTGGGACCATGGTAAACAAAAAGACAGCCCCTGTATAACCCCACCTCCAAAAAAAATATATATATATACACATACATACACATATACATACAATCCCAATCCAAAAATAAGTTGGGATGCTGTGTAAAATCTACATAAAGACAGAATACAATGGTTTGCAAATCTCACAATTCCATATTTTATTCACAATAAAAAATAGAAAACATACCATTTTTTTAAACTGAGAAAATGTACCATTTTAGAGAAAAAATAAGGTAATTTTGAAATTGATGGCAGCAACATGTGAAAAAAGTTGGAACAAGGCAACAAAAAACTGGCAAAGTAAGTGGTACTAACAAGGAAGAACTGGAAAAACATTTTGCAATGAAGTGGGTTAATTGGCTAAACATTGTTGAATAATTTCAGAGTAATGTTCCTCAATGAAAAATTGCAAAGACTTTAAAGATATCATCATCTGCAGTATATATTTTCATCAAAAGATACTCAAGAATCTGGAGAAATCTCTGTGTGCAAGGGGCAAAACCGAAAGGTAATATTGGATGCCTGTGATCTTCAGGCCCTCAGAATGCACTGTAAAAAAAAAACAGGCATGATTCTGTGATGGATATCACTGCATGGGCTCAGGACTAGTTACAGAAATCACTGTCTGTGAACACAGTTCGCCATGCCACCCAAAAAATCCAAGGTAAAGCTCTATCATGCAAAGAAGAAGCCATATCTGAACAGGATCCAGAAATGCCTTTGTCTTCTCTAGACCATTGGATATGTTTTCTACTTTCTATTGTGAGTAAAATACGGGTTTATGAGATTTGCAAATTATTGACTTTTGTTTTCATATAGATTTTACACAGCAAGTGTATGTATATGTGTGTGTGCATATATATACACTCATACATACACTCACCGGCCACTTTATTAGGTACACCTTGCTAGTGCCAACAAAATATCCCTCACAGCATTACACCACCACCACCACCAGCCTGAACTTTTGATAGAAGGTAGAATGTATCCATGCTTTCATGTTGTTTATGCCAGATTCTGACCCTACCATCTGAATGTCTCAGCAACCAGTCTGCCCATTCTCCTTTGACCACTGACATCAACAAGGCATTTCTGTCCATACAACTGCCGCTCACTGAATATTTTCTCTTTTGTGGACCATTCTATGTAAACCCTAGAGATGGTTGTGTGTGAAAATCCCTGTAGATCAGCAGCTTTTTAAGTAATCAGACCAACCCATCTGGCACCAACAACCATGCCACATTTAAAGTCACTTAAATCCCCTTTCTTACGCATTTTGATGCTCGGTTTGAACTTCAGCAAGTTGTCTTCACCACGTCTAGATGCCTAAATGCATTGATTACCAAACTGAAGTGGTTGGACTGGTTTTTATTGACTATGGTTTATACCAGGGTTTCTCAACTCGGGTTCCATGAGAAGTCCCCAGGGATTTTGCTGCAAATCAACCAATGTTGTTTTCTGTGCACACTCACTGCGAGTACTGTCACCGCACATTGATACCCGTAATGCCAGCTCCTGTGAGCAGGAGTATGTTGCTCAGGCAGGAGATGAGATGCTGTGTATGGCAGTGCTGAATTCAGACTGCAGAGATGGGGAGCAGAGAGCAGGACCACGTGGCTGAATATAGCAGGAGGTAACATCCTGTGCTGAATTCAGACTGCAGAGAGTGGGAGCATGTGGCTGAATCAGACTGAATGCAACAGGAGCTGAGATCATAATAGCATTTATTATGCCATAACATAAAGCCACTATGATCTCACCTCTTGCTGCATTCAGTCTGATCCAACCTCGTGCTCCTGCTCTGTGCTAACCTTCTCCACAATCTGCATTCAGTGCTGCCATACACAGGATGTCACCTTCTGCTTCAGCCATGTGTTCCTGCTCTCTCTACAGTCTGAATTTAGCACTGCCATACAACAGCATCTCCCCTCCTGCTTTAACAATGCGCTCCTGTTCTCTCCACTCCTCTTGACACTGCTGCATTGACAGTACTCACTGTCCGTGCACACTGAGAACAACATTGGGCAGATATACATCTGCCACAATGTTGATTTGCAGTGGAACTCCTGGAGTCTTCTTGTGGAGCCTAGGGTTCCGGTTGACAAATCCTGATTTAATGCTATTTCTGCAACAATTATTGTTATATCTACAGCTCACTGATCCATTGCTCTGTGAGCTGTGATCTGAATTTTTTTTTTCAGGGGCTCCCTGAGATCTCAAATGTTTTGCCAAGGGTTTTTCGAAGATAAAAAGGTTGAGAAACCCTGGTTTATATGTTTATTTTTAATATATGAAATACATACATTTAATGTTATTTCACATCTCGTTGCACATTTTCTATGCTTACGTAAGAATTGCAATATTTTAATGAAATACATACTAATTTTGTCATGTATACAGACATTTGTATATATATTTTTTAGAATTGTGGAGTAGCAGTAGTGTTATCATTATCAGTAATTTAACTTATAGTAGTGTGCAATGCACTTTCATTTTGAGATAGAATCATTTACAAAATTGGAGGCATATCTTCATGCCAAAAGCTGAACAGATGAGGTAGAGGAATTCTGGCCTTGAGTTCTGCAGCTTAGGAAGGCAGACACTGAATGTACTACTGAGGTAACAAATGAGGAATGAGGTTCTGCTCCAAGATCTCTGATAAGGCAGGTGACAGCCAGAGCACCAGAAGAATTGAGAGTATTAGTATCAAGGGCAGAAACAAAGACAACTATCCTTAAAGGGCAAATATATCAACTGCTACTTAAGTGTCTCCTTGGCATGCCAGGCATGAAGGCAACGTGCTCTACATATATGAACAGACATAACTCCCATACAATATACAAAATTAGATGCTTAGAAGAGACCATCAAAGCTGAAACTTAGGACCCTACGCATTTGTTCCAAATGCTCCAGGCCAGAGGAGTTGGTCTTTGATATAGAGGCATTGCTTTTAGGAGACTGACAGACTGTGACATGGATTCACAAATCGGAGTCATTGCCAAGAGGTGCGGTGCAGTTACACCAGATAACCCAGACTGAGACATTTGTAGGGAATCCAACTGCTAGTCAGCAAAATTCCTTAAGGTAGAATACGTTTCATAGTATGTTAAAGTGGATGAAGGGAGAGTCCACAATGTGTAGAGACCATGTATTACTTAAAATTGTCAGAAGGAATTCATAATTCCACTAGTTGCTTTGAATCCTCATAGAGGAATGTTTTTCATACCAAATGTATTTGGAAGGTCTTTGCAGCCATAGAGGTGGAAGAGGTTGCAGTGGTGAAAGGTGGTGCAATAATGGAATGTGGTGCAGAGGGTGGAAGGGCGTGCAGAGGTGGACAGAAGTGCAATGGTGGAAGAGAATGCAGTGGTGAAAGGTGAGGAAGTAGTGGAATGTGGTGCAGTGGTGGAAGGGGATATAGTGGTAGAGAGTACAAATAAAGAAAATATAGATGCCGCGCTCTATCAAGACCTATTACCTGTATATAGTATAAAAACTGTATTTGCATTAAATTTCTAATAGCTGCATGATCTTTTATGTGTAACCATACATGATTGTAATACCAATAAATACCCAAACGCGTTGATAATAGTATGAATTAAAATGAATTAAAAAATATATATCAAAATTGGTGATAATAAAACAAAAAAAAAAAAGTCTGTGCAAAATTATTCAAATTTGTGTCCTTCGATGATTAAATAAATATTCAATTAAAAAATAAATATCAAAAATAAAAATTTAAAAATATGGAAAATAAATAAAAGGTAAAAATTCAATGAATTTTGTGCAAAAAAAAGCAAAACAAACTTGGTGCAGAGTTCAGCAGGGATGAAATATCTGTGTGCTCTCCTTCCATTCAGCCTGAGGTGATGCAGGTGAAGGTTGCAGATAGAGGGCTATTATGTAAGCCTGAATGGTCATATGGATCTCTCCCTCCTCAGATGCACTGATAACTCACATTTATGAGGGTGAGCAAGATAGCCTGCAATCTTTTTGATAGAAGCTGTTTATTATACACCTTATTGGCTCACAAGTAAATTTTTAATACATAGTGGTAGAGAGTGTTGCAGTAAATAAAGGGGGTGGAAGATATGAGAGGTACTAGAAGAGCGGTGTGAGGTTATGAATTATCCTTATGAATTCCCAGGAATATTTTAAATGACTGGAAAATAATCAGAAAATTATCGCATTCACTCCACCACTGAATGTGTTTTCATGGATATCCTACCCAAAGCTTGTAGTATGCCACTGACCACAGCTGGTCCACCATGTACATGGTATTCACAGCAGTCTTCTCCTGTGAAGCTACGTGGACCTAACAAAAAAAAAATACATAACAATAACAGCATCCTTAATAAAGAAATTAAACACTATGATGATAACAAGCCTTATGTACCCCATAGATGTTTAAAAAAAGTCAGATAACTGATGATAAAAGGGTGTAAGAATGATGTAGTCTTTCAAATCTTCACAGTATATGATGGCACAGGGGTTGCAGTGGGGAGGAAAAGGTTGTAAGTCTATCTAAGTACCATTCCTTATTTTCCATACATAATTCCCTTACAGCCTTTTTAATCAACCACCTTTCCCACTAAAGTGCATTGGGGATATTATAGCTGTAGTGTCTGCAGTGGTGACATCTAGAAAATTAATATGCTGGTATTTGCTCACCTAAAAACCACACCACCAGTCCTCTGTCTAACAGCTCTCCAGATTTTGGACAAATAATCGATGCTAGGGTGACTTGACGTGGAGGGGGCAATATCTGCAGTTTAGTTAACTGTTGCAGTGCCTTCTGACTAGCAGGGCCACTGGTCCGAATCACTGCCACACCACATTTTCCATGGCCAGAAGAAAGGGCAAATATAGTATCTCTTGAATCATGATGGCTCCACCTTTTCAAAGGTCTGTAAAATACAAGATTTAATGAAGTATGACAATAGTTCAATATAAAAAGCAGGTGCTGCAAATGTTTAGCTTCACAAAATAAAAGTGATTATACAAACAGCATTTCCCAGGTTTATGTAAACCAATAAACTTTGATCTTATCATCACTGGCACACCAGAATTTAGCCTGAGAAAATGAGTTCCAGGAGTAAGCCAAACAACAGGAACTACAGCAGATGAGATGGAAAGAGAAAGCACATTTGGACATCAAGAAAAAAAAAACTAGTTCATAATACATCACTAAACAGAATATGGATCTGCTACCTTATTGTGGCAGGGATTGTATACCCCCTATGACCCAAGGCAGAAAGGGAAGCAGAGTGTGAAATTGCTACAAATGCGAGCAGGCTTTTCAAGAGTAGTAAAGCCAATTGTCTAAATTTGACCATAGATGGTACGATTTTCTATCCTGCAACCACGGGTTGCAGCCACTGGCAATAATCACTATGTGTTTTTCCGACAGGAACGCCCACGTTCTCCCCCCCCCCCCCCCCAGGAGAACACAATAACTCCATGAGAGGAATTCCCCATCAACACTGACTGTGCTGATGGGAGAATCCCTCCCGTGGAGCTATTGTGTTCTCCTGGCGGGGAGGAGCCGTTCCAGTCAGTAGAACACACAGTGATTATTGCTGGAAACTATCAATAATCACATGAATAATCTGACAGGCTGGTTGTACCCAGGTTCACTGATCAGTCAACTTGGGCACAATCACCCTGCCCACACATCGAATCTCGTCTGGTCCCTGCTGAACCGGGCAAGATTCAAACCATCTATGGCTGCCTTAAGGAAACAAACCATGACACTGCCTAACCAGGCTGAACTGCTGTAATACTGACACTCAGTGGCTGAATATCTCCTGGCCATGGGAACTCTGCCATACTGAAGTCTCTATCTGCTCAACCCAGCTCTGATGAAGAAGGGAGCACCCTCCGAAACGCGTTAGCCTTCATCCCCCCCTTTTCAATTTACCTGTAACCCTGTTTGGATTATGGTTACTTATGCCTGTTATACCATCACTTTTTCTGAGAAATTGATATTTCACCTATACTTGGAGAAGAGCCTGAGTGGGAATACTAAATCCTGAAAAGTGGTTTTGGAGTGCTGTGGTGGCCTGGAGGATCTGTGAGAGGGATCCATTACTGCTCTTTGACCCGCAAGGGTCGAAGTGATGAGGTGAGAGGCTAATCCAGAAGGTGGTTGGATTCATAAGCTCTATCTACACCCAGATATCTGCACGATTTGTTTCACTTGTGGTCACCTTACAGTATTATTGGAAACACCGTTTACAGTTTTGTTCACCTTCAACATTTCATTATTGGACTTTGAGTTTGCGTTTATTATTTAGTCATCATTTCACTTCACATTGTGCACGTGTGATGTAATATATGTATGTGTATTTCTCATGCACATACGTATAGATTTAAGTTTGTGCTTTTTCATTAGTTTGGGTGGTTTATTTGGTAATTTTGTTATCATTAAGCACATATTATTTATTTTCATTATTATTGTCACTATTTTGATTTGAGTTATTGGATTCCACATTCACTTAAATAAGTTTGAATGTAGCGCAGCATTTATATGGTTTAAAACCATGACAGGAAGTTTCCCAAGATAAGGTTGGGTTGGGTGACAACTCTGCTATCAAAAAAACTAGGACATGCCACAGATATAGCCTGAACACTTGAAGATAAACTGACAAAGGAAATTTACATATCAAGCCAAAAACTTTGTTCTTTAGTTTTGCATAGAATGGTGAAGGATTAGAACTCCTGCTGGGTTTTTACTGTTGTTCAGGGATCACTTAGAAACATTTTCACTCACTTCCTGTACTGCCGACAACCGCTGATCAAGGAGGAAGTGGGGAAAATCTGCAACAGGGCCAAAGACAGCAATAAACATCTGACAGGGGTTCTATCCTTCTACTATCCTTTTTATTTGTGTCTTTGTTGCTGGTGAAGAGTTAACCCCACATTTTTATACAAGTATATAGATCAGACCAAAATGGTGGACAAATGAGGAGGAAAGCAGGACAGAGGGACTTTTGGGACAGTTGGATGTATAGTGGTTGTAAACCCTTCATATACCTACTGAATTGACTGGCCCCTAGTAATACACAGAGATGATAAAAATCCTTCTACATAAGTTGTACATAATTATCTGCAGTATTCTCTTCTCTATAGCCGTTCAAAGTCCAGAATGTATAAATGTTTTTTGAGATGTCAAGAGACAAACAGGGGGCAGAGAGCTGAAATAACATTCTGCAGAGCTCAGTGAGGGGAGCTGTCAGAGCTGATTGCCACCCCCTTCACACAGCACACAGGAACAGAGCTGAGGCTGTCAATCTGGTGGAAGTCTCTCCCTGTCACCTTTTTTCTCTTGGTGTCCAGAAAACTCATCCCCAAGCTGCTACTCTATGTGTCTATAAGATATATAGAGCCGCAGCTCTCCACCCCCCCCCCCCAGCTCTCTCTGGCTGAGCCCAATGGGCTCCCGCTGCTGTCTCAGCCAATGAGGAGGAAGAGTCCCTAGACAGCAGAGGCTGTCGAGAACGATGCTGGGCGGCTCAGGTAAGGATTGGGGGATATAGGGTAATAGGAACAGCACTGACCCTGTTTATGCCTGCAACCACCATCAGGAAGTTCTGAATGTGCGGGGGAGGAGCCTGAACATGGCGCCGACAGGGAGCTCAATGTGAGAGCTCCCGAACATCCAGCGCTCCTGTGACCTGCCAAACAACGATATACCTGGTGGTTCGAGCTGCCCTTCTGGGGGTGTCCGATTTGTGTGTGGTGCCCTTTGTGCTGTCGGCCTGTGGTGGCGGGTTGCGGTGGTGGGGCAGAGGACGGAGTGCGGGGAGCCGACCAGCTGGAGAGGAGGCGGGCTGTGCTTAAGACTGGAGTGGTGGACGCCGGGTGGTCATGTGGCCGCCGCAGAGGAGCACTGGGAGGCTGAGATATCGGCCGGTTTTGTACACAGGAGAACTGGTTCATCCATCATAGGACTGCCCAATGCCCACGGAACTCCACGGAGTGTGACCCCCTAACAGTTACCATCAGAGATGGGGCTTTTGACCACCTGGATTGCAATGGAAATCTCCGCGGTAGGAGGAAGGCTATCCGTAGCTGTGCTCTGAGCCATAGCAGTTAAAGTGGAAGAGGCGTATGAGGGCCGACAGAGGATGGCAAGTCAAAACTTAAAATGGACTAGCACTGTTTAAAGAACATTAGGGGGTTCAACTGGTGGGTTCAGGAGTGGAAACAGAGATACAAGAGAGAAAAAGAGCCTGGAGACCCCTAGGGAGGAGACTGGTATAGGGGTAAAAAAAAAAAAAAGGACAAATTTAAGGGACATTACCCCTGCAGAGCCATAAACCAAATGTATTCTGTACAAGTAACCCTCTCGCCCTGGAAATATACAAGACAAAAAAGAAAATATATTAACATCATGAAAAGCAAAGTAACAAAAGGGGGAGGGTCAAAAGCATCTCAAACAAGTTCAGTTAAAAAATATATGCCCCCTCAAGAGAAAAACTTTGAGGGTCAAACTCCAGAGAAACAACAAGGAGTGAGTGGAAGATGGGAGATGGAAAACAACAATGGTAATCGCACCAGATAGTCTACGGGAGTATCTAATATTGGTTAAAGTGTAGAAGCTGAAGATATAGAAAATGAGTAGGTCGTAGAAAATCCTGAAGAGCGAGAGAGGGACCTCGCAGATGCCTACTAAATCTGATATGGCAGACATGTTTATGATATTGGAACAATCTATAAAACAGGAGATGGCGGTAATACATAAAGATCTGGGGCAACTTTTGTCACGAGTGGAGGAGACTGAGGGAAAATTGGATAAACACGCCCAAATAATACAAAGTTAGAAAAAACAGATGGAAGAAATGCGAAAGGGGCAAAGAAGTCTGCTATATAAACTGGAAGATCAGGAAAACAGAGATAGGAGTAATCTGAGGATACAGGGTTTACCTGAAACCTCGCTAGGAAAAGATTTTGATGGAGACAATGAGGAAAATGTTTAATACATTAACGGACAGATCAGCAACAGAGCACCTGAAAATTGACAGAGTGTATAGAATAGGAAGACCCTAAGGAAGTGTGACTGAAAACCCTAGAGATGTGATCGTGCAATTCCATCATTACAAAGATAAAGTGGAGCTATGGAAGAAGGCAAAAGGAAGACCAGTAATAAAATATGGAGAAGCAACTCTACAGATTTTTGCTGATATATCATCGGAAAAACTGGCCAGAAGAATGCTGAAACCATTACTGGAACAGATGAGAAAACAAAACATATGATACAGCTGGGGATTTCCAGCATGCCTAATTGGATGGAGAGACAGTCGCTCTGCAAGACAGATTCCCAGAAGACTTAACAGATTTTGTGAGAAACTCGAACTACAGAAAATAGATATTCTAAGATGGGAAGAGGGCATAAAGGAGAATAGGGGAATAGAAAATGAGAATTGGCAGTCAGCTCCTAAAAGGAAAGTGCACCTGCGATAAAGTAGGGGGAGAGGAGAGGAAGATCGGGAGGGAGATTTTTGGAAGTCCGTAGAGAACTTTTTTTTTTCTCCCCCCTCCCTTTCCTCCTCTCCTTCTCCTCCTCCTATATAGTGTAAAAATCTTAGAAGAGAGGTGGGAAACAGCAAGTCACATATACATCCAGACATGCGGCCTAGGAATTGGGTACGCAGTCAGGGTGGGCATATGTGGTCAGAGCTCCACCCTAGTTCGGAATCGACAGTGGGACTACGACCACAAACGATTCAAAGTCAAGCTAAGAGCCTATGGGAAGTGGGGGTGGGATATTGGGGGGGGGGAGAGGAGAAGGGAAGGGGGAGGAGAAATATGCAAGGGATAGCTTTGTGTTCCTCCGAATGGATAATGGTACTGTTGTTGGGAAGAATTTAGTTGGAGGATAAAAAAATCTGGGAAATGAAGGTTAACTTT